TTTGGAAAAGATGATGCCCATACAATACTGCTTCATAATGGCCCAGCTATTATGTGGGCAAAAATGTACATCTCCATCCTAGTGGTGGAGAGGACAAAGGAACAGATAATTTGCAGCATAATCTCAATTTTGGGCAGTTCCTGCGTACACCTGCTTCCCAAAGATGTATGAAATTACTCAGATTAAATGAGAGTCAAACCAGTCAATCTTATGCACCATAAATTGGGAGATAACTCAATATGAATATTGCTATTGAGCTTTTATACTACAATGCCGTATTGAAGTTCATAGGTTGCTCATTCTTGAAAGGTCTTTGAATTTCACTCATTAATCCTGCGTCGTGCCCAATAGTTTGTTCCTGTGTAGAAGGTCTGCTGGGGAAGGGCAGGAGACACCAAAGCTACCACCCCCTCGGGTAGTTTGTCCCCATGGCTTTGATTTGGGGCCCTCTTTCCTCGTGGAGCTGGCCTCAAGTTAAAGATGTCTTGTTATTCCATCGGTTTTTCCTGCACAAGTTCCCATATTCTGTAATCATGGCATTTTTCAGTCTTTTCTTGACAAGCTCAACATGTCAGGCTCTTTTAGCTGGTTTCTGTGCAGTGTATTTTTGGCTTGCAAGTAATTTTTATGGCTATTTTCTGTTCCCTCCCCAATTTCTCAACATCCTTTTGAGGTGTAAGTACCACAACAGGCTATAGCACTGCAGTATCTGCCTACAAGTGCCGCATGCTGAGATAGGAGCAGCTCGCCTCCTTCTCACCCACCGTGCTCACATTTAGCCAGGGCTTCCATTAGCCCATTTTTCCACAGCAGCTTTTTGGGTATCATGTTCCATTATTTATTTGAGGATAAACACCTAAAAGCTAGATGTTTTTCAGAGCCGTTGCTCCCCAGAGTAGTCTCCTCTGTGGTACCCTCCTATTTGCGTCCTTTGCACTAGACGGTGTTGAAATGCGTTGGTCTGAGTGACCCTGCCCGTAGCAGGAGATCCATGCTTTTACACGGCAGCGCTGGTCCCCAGGGCTGTGCCTGGCACCCCGCCTGGCACCTGCCAGAAGCCCTCGCTGGGGCACATCGTAAATGTTTAATGGCACGTAATGCTTATTTTCATCTTCAGGTCTTACTGTTTCCTTTCCAGCTCCTCGACTCTCTCCATGCTTTTCTTCTTGCTGGGCCGGGCGGGATGGGTGCTGCCGGGGGGGGCAGAGCCCGCTGCCCCTGCCCCGACGGTCACCGTCTCACTCGCCGGCTGGTCGCCTCTTTCATTTCTTATGTTCTCTGTAACCATCAGATGGCTGACGGTGAAGATCAATGTGCCTGAAGGAAATTTTATTTACTTTTTCTCCTGCGCGGGGAGACACTGTAGCCAATATCCCCGGCAATAAATTTAATTCAGGTGCTTGCGAGGACTAACAGTGCTCATGAGAGGAGCGGCTCACACTGTGAGTGCTCAAAGGGCTTCTTTTAACTTTCTCCATTTGGCAGTGCCTTGCATCGTGGCATTTTTACATCCCAGCATGCTGGAACCCAGCGTGACGCGGAGCGATGCGGCCGTGGAGCATACGGGAGCACACAAAACCCTTAATAAAAGAGAGACCACTTCCAGGAGTTGACAGCCGTTCAGCCCTCTCGGTCATCTGCCAGTCCCCTCCACCTCCCCTCAAAGCCAGGCCCTTTCCCAGCCCCGGCAATTCCTTTTTTTCCTGCGCCCTGCGGCCCTGGCCTCGTGGCTGGGGTTGGCTGTGGTACCCAGGGATGCTCGGCTCTCGCCAGCCCGCAGCCCGGGCTCCGGTTCCTGATTCTAGTCCCATGCCCCATCTCCCTCGTAATCTCCTCTCTCTCCCAGAGCTTATGTGGATTAGCAGGACCCTTCGTATTAGCCGTAAACCTCCTTGATCCCCGAATGACTCCTCTAATGGGATTGCACCCCCCTTTTGCAGGCTGGCTGCCTATCTTTTGTCTTTAAGGCGGGCTGACGTACCTGCTGCCTGCGCCCGGGGGGCTGTCGGCGTGGGGACCCAGCTCTGCGCGGGCTGCGGGGGCCGTGGGCTGCCCCCTGCACGGCAGCTCGCCCCCCTCCCCAGCCGTGTCCTCCAGCCGCGCCGCGCTGATATCCCTCCTTTTACTTCTTCGCCCCTAGATTTATTATTCTACAGTGATTGTGTTGAATTGCATTTGAAATCAATTAGCACAGGTACTCAAAGATGAATGTTCATGCTCTGAAAAAAGGTGATGAAAACATACCATTTAAATAGAAATCAATTTCCCTTTCATGTATTTCTTCCTAGCTGCTGCCCGAAATTAATAGTTTTTAGATATTTGTGCGCAAAGAGGAGACTCTCCCCTCGTAAAGCACTTCGCTCCCCGCCTCCTGCCTCCTCGGGCTCACCAGGCGCAGCCCGCCGCCGCAGCCTTTTATATCGCACACAGCAAAGGAGGCTGTTTTGTTTGCCTGAGCAAGAACAGCTAGGTCAGGAGCAGCTGTAATTGCCTCCTCCCTCCTCATATTTTAGTGACATCATTAGCCATTTCTCCATGGGAAACTATTTAATTCTAGCAATAATAAACACAGGAACTGCAGCAAATGAACCCCAGGCAGCTACAGTGCTTGCCATTACCCGGTGGGCTTGATCTTTATCATAAACCTCGATGTACCAATTAGACTAACAATGAGCAGAGAGCCAAAAAGGAGAACAAGAGAGGGATTAAGCAGTTGTCCTCCGGATCTCGGGGGCAGCGCCAACCTTCTCAGGCACGAAAGCCTCGCCAGACCTCCAGCACCGTCCAGGACCCCTGAAAGTGAGCTGCAAAGGTCTGGGGCTGCGTTCCCACCTTGGTCTAGTCTGATGGCAAGTGGTGCCACTCAGGCCATTTTCTCACCCAAAGCTTGTGACAGAAGCAAGGAAAAAAACAAAACCCAAAAGCACCTACTTCTTTAGGACATTTCTCTGAGTGTAAAGACTGGGGACAGCCAGCCGAGCCGATGGTGCCCTGTCCGTTCCTGGAAGGCTCACTTTGCAGGGAGCAGGGGGTCTGGGTGTGTGGCATTGCCCAATCCTGCCTGGGCAGCCTGGGCTTGGGGTCTCCACACGTTCCCCCCCTTCCAGTTACTCCGGTAAGGTGCTTCTGTATCTGCCTTACAATCATGTACCTAGACCCTCCCACTAAAATGATGTGACTTTTACCAAAGTCCAAAGCCCAAATAGTGCACGAGCCAGATAAAAAGAAGAAAAATATGCACCTTGTGCTAAACTTTCCTGCAAAAGAATCATCTTCCCATGCCCCAGGGAACCCTTGAAGAATGAATTTTCACTGGGCTGAAGTACCTCTCTCACATCTCTCATTTATTATTTTATTATTTGCATAAGCATTCAAGTAAGTTGCTAAATAACCAGCTGCAGAACCCAGCCCATGTCTCAAGAGTTTTACATGTTCATCTCAGACCATTCCCACAATCTGTCTTGCTGCAAAGCCACGAAGGCGGCAGCGTTTGATGGCTGTTTGCCTTGCCTGACAGCAGCCCAGGGCATGAGCATCCTCCACGTGCTGAGGTGCTCCGTCTATCTCGGGCCCACGTCCCCCAGTTTCGGATGGAGGGAGCAGTACAGGTCCTCTGGTGCATTTTGGGAGCCAGGAGGAGGCAGAAGAGAGAAGCCAGGCATGGCTGCGCCAGCCACAGCTTTTCTGGCAAACCCCTGTACAAAACCCCAGGCGGGAGGGCAGCGAGCAGGTGCCTGGGTGCTGCCCACGGGCAGTTGCGGGCAGCAGGGAGCAGCGCTGTCGCTGGCAGACACGGCTCGTTGTCAGTGATGGGGTTTAGTGTTTGTCACTGCTCCCTGCCAGGTGGTGAGGGGGGGACGAGGGTGGCATCGCTGGGCTGGGGATGTCGGCACTGCCACCACACCTGGCCGGCAGTGCCCTAAAACTCAACCCTGCCTTTCCCAAGGACCCGTCCCTTCATCCCTGGCTCTTAATGACAAGGGTCTTTCTAAACTGCTTGTCCACTGAAGGACCAACATTTTAATACTATAATCATTTCATTTATTATCTTCTTTAGTCTACAAAATCTAATCCGCAAATTTAAGCAAGCATCTGTCCTCTTCATTTACCACAGAGGCATCAAATTATTGTTCAGCCCCTCTGTTATGTCCTGATCCCTTCGATCTGGTTTTCTATCAGTGTTATTATTAATCATCTCCTCCATTTTTCCTTACCATCTGTTTTACAGCAGGAGTCCTGTGCTTAGGCTGGTTCAGGCAAAGGACCGTGAACCCTGGGACTCCCCATCTGTAATCCTGACTGTGCCAACGAGGCACTCAGCGATGCCAAAAGAGCCGGTCCCTTGATCTCCTTGTCACCCAGATGGAGTCAGCGTGGCAGTAGGACAGCACGAAAACTGAGGTGCTGCATTGCTGCTAATGAAGCACAGGGAAGATTTAGGTTAATTTTTTGGGAAATGTGGGGAATTTTCCTAATGGCAAGGATGGCTAAGCACCGATGTAGGTCTCCTGGAGAGGCTGCAGGATCCCATGGTTGGAGATCTGGAGCTTGCCATCAGCATGGGGTCTGATCGAGGTCCCTAGCATCTGATAACAAGTCCTGCACTGTAATTACATACTGCGTGACGATGCATCTCCTCCTGGTTTGAGGTCTCCCTGCTGGTTTTGTTTAAGGCCCCCAGTTCTTACTATAGAAGAGGTGGAGAATGGTTGTTCCCTGTTCTCTCTCTTTGGTGATGCTCAGGACCTCATGGACCCCCAGGCTAATGGTGGTGAACAAGCAGCAAGCCACAGCTACCATCTCTAGGCACCGCTTCTTTAACTTGAGCTATATATGTCATTTTATGAAAGTAAGTATGTTGTTGCCCTGTACCTATCCGATGTGATGGGTTCAGCGCTGTATTTCCCAACGCTCTGTGGTGCGGTAGGCACAGTCGTGCTGCGGCTCGTGGGCAGGGTTGGGCAAACACGATGGTCACGGCTGGCTGTGGGAGCCCTGACCTTGCCTGTGCTTGGCGAGGTCGTGCCGTCTTCCCCGCTCCCAGGGCAGCAGCAGCAGCAGCAGCAGCAGCCATAGCAGCCATCAGCCGGTCACAGTTTTGGGGCGGAGGCGCGTTCCCTGAACTGGACTGTGTCCGCATGGTTGGACCAGCCTGCAGAGATGCCCCAGGGCCGCCCTTGCCCCTGCGTCAGGACCTCCCTCCGGCTGTCAGTGTGAGTGGTTCAGGAGTGCTAAATGCACTGGAGAGACGTTGCAGTCGATGCCCTCATTTAAATCTGTTTCATTTTTTGATTATGCTTACATTTTCTCTAAGAGAAAACAGGTCTTCAGTTCAGGCCCTTGGTTGCATAGGTCAGGAATAAAAACTGTTCACAGTTCTCTTTTTGTTTCTGGTCTTCAGGTATTGATCATCTCCTCCATTTTCCCCACTCTTGGCTTTATTCCTGCCGCTGCGTATTTTTGGCTTATGCTTCTTGCCAGCAGCTCCTTCTGAAGCTTTTCTCAGGCTCCTGATTTGCCTCCCACCGTCACTGCAGCATCTAATAGCCCTTTCCAGGTCCTCCTTGCTGGCTCCCCACGCAGCCCTGGCCCCATCCGCTCGGGTTCGGTTCCCAGACCGTGCCGATGAGCTGCTAACAGCGTGGGTTTATGATGTTGGTGCCTCAGATTTGTAATTACTGCATAGCACTTGTTCAAATAGCCTTTCATATTTTAATCCAGATAACTAATTCATCTTCTAACTAACCCCTCCGTATTGCTATTACTTAGATTTGTATTCCCTTTTTATTTTTAGATATAGATATTTGCAAAAAGTATAGATTTTTACCTTGTATTTTCACATGGACTGGTAATCACTAGTGGGTTTGAGTAGGACGGCAAAACAGAGTTATTAAACCTTTTGATACCCATGATACCATGTTAAAGGACAATTTTGGGTAATCACCTGGGTTATGTTTATTTATAAGGGTGTAAATGGCAAACTGGTACCCAAATCACTGTTTGTCCTCCACCCTTTGTGCTGAGGGTGTGCTTGATGCATTTGTTTTCCTGTGACTGTAATCTCCTTTTAAATTTCCTAATTTTTCCTTCTCTTCTCTGTGTTATTTGTTACCATCTTCAGCTGAGCACAGACTGGTAGACTCAGAAATCAATTCAGCGCTGGAGTTTCAGTCTCAGAAGAGCTATATGGGAAAGGCCCGCCACCTTCCCGGGATAGCCTGTGACAGAAGATAAATCATCGCAGATTTTTTGCCAACATGCCATATTTCAAACTCATAATCAGTCCACTATCACCCTTAGGTTTCCTTCAGCACTCTGCGATCTCCTTCCAACTCCATGTGATTTATGCTGCCAGGTACCGACACCAATTGTACATTTCTAATCCTCTCTTGTATAATTTCTCTTCACTGCATTTCCTTAATTACCCTCTTTCTGACCTCCCTTTTCCTTCCTTACTCCTTTTTCCAGCTTGCTCTTGGGCTTCCTTGCCCTCCATTGACTCCTTCTCTCAATTTATGGCGTGAGCACAGTTTATGAACACCCTCGAGCCCCGGTGACGCTGAGGTTTTGGGGGGGGCGGCATGTTCCCGAGGCTGGAGCGGAGGCGGGAGCAGCCCCTTGCTGGGCTGGAGCCGGGCACATTGCTTGACAAAGACCTGCAGTGAAGGACATGGAGAATCACCCATTTGGGGTGTTGAAACCACCACAGCATCCCTTCCCTGTGTGTACATGACTCCTGACCTCGGCGCCGGGATCTGTCACCTCTGATGTCAGTAATTCCCAACGACAAGAGCGATGGAGACATCCTGCTTGTCTGGTGTGCAGAGGACCTGGGCCACAGCGACCGCCTGGTCCCAGCGCTGCGGGGACATCACCGAGCCCACGGCCGGGTTCTGCATGTCAGCTCTGGGATCCTGGATCAAGGAGGACATGCTTGATGCGTTCTAAAAACTTTTGGTTAGTGATAACAGCAGCGGGGCGGGGGGGGAACAACACTATGGCCCTTTTCTGACCGGCTGCAATAAGTGGTTTGACAGCATCCTGCTGTGATGGAGATGTGTGTCCCAGGGGGGAAACAGGGGATCGTTTGGGAAAGAGCGGGCAGCTTCTGAAAATCAGGAGCGTGCAGCAGACTGCACACTCATCCTGCTTTCTTCATGGTGAGCTGCTTCGGCCTCGGTGGTTGCAGCGAATGTGGGGAGATCCGTGCTGGCTGCAGATGGATCGAGTGTTGGCTTTCCTCCCATGCCAACCGGGTTGCTTGGTTTTATCAAGAAGAGTTTGGTTCCGTCTCTGTTCATCCAGTGGAAACTCTCAAAACATGGAGGCAAAATTGGTTTTCCAAGGTTGACCAGCGATAGTGTGGTAATTAAATCATTAGGCTGCCAGACGTGGGGCAAGGGCTTCAATCTGTAGCTCTGCCTCAGACCTCGCGGGTGACACTGGCCAAAGCATGTCATCTTTTTGTAGTCCTAATTTATCTACAATATGGTGCCTGCCATTCTCTCTGCCATGCCCGAGTAACGGCACATACTCCGGGACGGAGCTCGTCTTTTGATGCTACTTTTTGTTACGTCCTGACCTAGGCTAGGATTTCCAAACCAGTAAAAAAACCCCAAGAAGAGAGTAGTGCCCCGCTCAGGGCTCACAGCCACTGCCGGCCGCTTTCGGAAAGAAGAGGAATTGGGTAACTTACGCCAGGCGGAGGAAAGCACCCGAAGCCGCTGCTGCCTTTAGGAGATGAGCAAGCTGAGGTCCTACCGAGCAGACTGGTGTGCAGGAGAGGTGTCCGTCCCTGCAGTGCAGGGGTCCGCGCGGGCAGAGCCCCCGGCAGCTCAGCAGCTGCCCTGGCTGGGCTGGGAGGGCTGAGGGGAGGGGAAAAGCACAACAGTTAACTTTCAGAAATCACTGGAACATCTTCTTCATAATTAATAAATGAAAAATGTTACTGCAGCTAATCAATAAAGTTGTTAGAGGGAATTGATCGGAGGGGGAACTCTTTTTGTGGGTACAATTTTTCACCTATTCAGAACAAAAGGCTCCCCAGGGTGCTATGAAACAGATCGGCGCTTGGGAGCCTGACCCAAACAGCGAAAAAAATAGAAAGACAATTAATTAAAACCTGAGAGACTGACATCCCCCGAGAGCCACGGGAGGGGACGGACCCAGGCGTGGCGGCCGTGCACGTGCGGCTCTCGAGGGTGGCCCGGGGTGCGTTTCGGGTGGTCCCGAGCGAAGCCAAGGCACCTCGGTGCTGCAGCTGGGGTGAGGATGGAAGGCGAAAGTCCTCCTGGAAAGGACCAGGCATCGTCCCGTGCCATCACCCAGCACGGCAATGTCCCCAGCAGCCACATGCCGGACAGTTTCCCAACGGGAGTGGGCAGGTTGCATGGCCTGTCTGCCCTGCTCCTGCTCGGCTGGGTCAGCTTTTCCATGACAAACCCGACCGCCTGGGCAGGAAATATCCCCTCTTGCAGGGAGTTTATAGGGTGATAATGAGCATCAAAAAAACCTTGGGATTGACACTTGGCATTCAAGTATTTGCCTCAGGAGATGTAATTTAAACATCTAGTTAAGCTGTTTGTTTTTTGTTGGTTTTTTTTTTTTTTAAAGTGGTTTGATTGTTTTTCCTCTTGGAAAAATTGTGTTTGGGTCATGCCAAAATGCAAATCTATTTTTGGGTCAGCATTTTGGGCCTCATTTTTGTTCTTGCTGAAGGCAGACACTCCTTGACTGCAGCAGGCACAAGAATAGCTCCTCTTCACATACGCGCCTTCCTCCCTCCTCCTCACGTAACAGCATCGCAGGTCCTGAGCCTGTGAACGTGTAAGGATACGCTGGGACTGCTCACACGTACAAAGCAAAGTCTGGGCGTAAAAGTCTGCAAGCCCGGCAACTTTTTTATCCCTTCTAATGCATCTATTCATTTTTTGTGTGGTTTTAATTTTTCATTCGTTTAAAATGCGCAGCAATGAAGAACTAGAAGAAAGGCGAAGAATTAAACAAAAAGTGCTCAGTTTAAGCTTTAACACGACACCCGGATTTTGCGATAAACTGGGTAGCCAAGCTGTGGGAGTCTCCTCGGGCATCACTGTTTCGCAGGGGGATGCAATGCTGGCCCCTCGGTTGGGGGTCTCCGGCCAGCCTCCTCCCAGGCTGCCGGCTGCATCTTGGTATTCTCGCTTGGCCCACGCTCTTCTGGTTGAAGCCATCTGCCAGGCAAGCCCAGCAGGCAGGGCAGGCAGGGCAGGCAGGGCCGGTGTCCCTGCTCCCACGGCACAGCTGGGCACCGCTGGCTGCCCCGGCCATCCCGGCGGCAGCACTCCCTTCAAGCCGCGGCGGCTGAGAAGCACCTCGGCAGACCTGCCGTCAACCTGGGGGGATCAATGAACAATTAATTACTGTCATCAAGCGGGACTCTGCTCGGGGAAGACAGCACACTTATATTTATCAATTACTAATTAGTAGCTCTTGCCTGGCTGGCAGTTGTCTGTCAGCCAAGAGGAGAGCGGCGGTGGGGCTCGCGCAGGGTCACTTTCTTAGCGGTAATTAAGGATGGATAAACTTGTTTGGAAAAGGCTGGAAGCCTGAACTACAGCTGGGAGGTAGGAAAAAAATCCAAACAATTAAGACTAGGATCTTTAAAAGAGCTTTTAGATGTCAAAGCCGCCAGCATTTCACTTGGGTTAAGTGCCTAGCTCCCGCAAGATCATGAAAATCCCAGCCCCAAATTAATTTTTTAGATGTGCATTGGCTCAGAAACAAGGCGGTTCCTTTGCTTTCACTTTCTGCCTCCCTTTCCTGGGGAAGGGAGCCTGCCCAGGACCTTGGCCGTGGGCGCATCCTCCTCGCCGCTGCTGGTGGGTCTCGGCATGGTGCCCGGGTCCCGGCTTTCTTGCCCCCCCCCCAGCCAGCCAGGGTCCCCAAGGGTGGAGAAAATCAAACGTGCACACATTTTTTCCCAATTTAGTGGACTGGTAGTTACTGCTGTAAGGGGTGTCAGCCGTGCTATGGGATGAAATGCTAGAGACAGGGGTGGGTGCTTCGCTGACGTGGTGACTTTGCTGGAAAGTTATTGCACTGAGAAGCTCAGGTGAGAGCAAGAAGATGATGTAAAAGTGGTTTTTTTGTGTTGTTTTG